CCCGCGGTCCAGCAGCGTACGGACGGTTAAAAATAAACCGTTCGTACGCTCTGCGGAATACCGGTCCTTCACATGAAATGTTAATCGCCAAAGTGAAGAGAAAAAGAGATGGAAATACGTACCGTAGTAACAAGAACAAACCTTTTTTTTTGTCCGTGCCTTCACACTGCGCCTTGTTGCGACCATCACCCGAACGGAAAGTATTACCACTTCCTTCCGGTTTTAAAGGGCACAGAGGCGCCTCGTTATCCAATCACAAGCGTCCTGCACGGTATCTGCAATCCACCAGGTGACAGTGCAGGCTCATTAATTTGTCAATGAGTAGACACACGATCACTGCAGACTAATGTCAGTGCTCTTACTGTCGAGAACTATGATATGGGCGCTCTAACTGGTAGCTCTCCTCTGGTTTTACGTAATAATTCATGGTTGGATTCAAATCTGCCTCAGATCTTAACTAGTCATATCGCCCTGTGAACTCAGTCACCTTCCCCATTCACTTAGCCATGTTAAGAAGACAGGCCTCAAACTACTGTTTATATATATATATATTTTAACTGTTTGAACCACTGTAAGGCACAATGAGTTTGCGTTGTGCATGGAATGTACTCTATAAATAAAAATGGAATTGAATTGAATATTAAAGAGTATATGCCCCTTTTTAACGACAACACTTATATCATTAATTCCATTCCAAAACATTGTTCTTTTGGGTTTTTTTAACAAACATGGGCACATGTTCAGCAACAAACTTCAATCTAGAAAAAGGGTTGTTCATTTTTATTTTTTTATATTTTGATTTGTATACATTTAAGAGGAGGAGCTCCTGTAGGAGGAAGAGGCCCTTGGAGCAGGAGACCAGGTTTATGAAGATGACAGATCAGATCTGACTGAAGAAGAGGGAAACACAAATTCTCCAGGAACAAACTAAGACAGATGGAAATATACGACCTAAGGGGATGTCAAAAATGGACATTCAATACCATCCTTGGACATGAACAGAAGACAAAGGGGGGCTTAAGAGACAGAGAGGGCGGCAATGTATTGGTTAAAAAGAGTGATTTTCTTATGAACCTTCATTAAAAACATACAAATAGATATATATACGTATACATATATACAGTATATATATATACATATATACGTATACATATAAACAGTATATATATAGAAATATATATGCATATATAGTATATAGCTGAAATAACTTAACTAAAAAACTATTTGAAAAGTACAATGGTGAAACAGCTGGTGGGCATTTTGTATTTAAATTATTTATTTTTGTAGATTTTCACCAATGAGCTTTTCTGTAACAGTTGTCAAAGCACGCTGCTGATATTGGAACGTTTGTATAAAGAGGATAAACCAACTCAAAACACACAAAAAAGTGAAAGTGAAGTAAATGTGAATGTCAACTGTAGGGGGCGCGCTGATATTGGAACGTTTGTATAACGGAAGTAGAAATACGCTGCACGCTTTTTGTTCCGGTTGCGAATTCGACTCATGACACGTGTGTGTTAGCCGTCTGGGCTTCCAGCGGGCGTTCAGGTCAAGAAACTGGTCAACGTGGCTACATCTGATTGATTGAAATGGTGAGTTTTTGCCAACAATTGTCGGTTGTATTTTGTGTGAAATGGTAGTCCTTCGGTCGAGACCGTTAGTGCAATTTACGCTAGCACATGCGTCTTGGCAGCTAACGTTAGCTTTTGTCAGAAATGATTCATAGTTACTTTTTCGTCCTAAACAATGAACATAGAGTTGTGTTTGTAAATGAGGAATTGGCCTTTGACGGGAGTTTGAGCTGGGCTGATGCACTTTTTGAAAATATGAAATTAACTTGCAA